TCTCAAATTATACTTATAAATTCATATAAAATGAAATTCAAATAGAGTTTTTTCAAATTTCAGAAAAAATATTTATTTACTCAATTTTATTGGAAAAATATATAATTTTTCAAGTCTTTAAAATCAATATCAATATTGGCCATATGAAACCCAGCAACCCACCCTCAAGGGAATATATCAACTCGAAGACTTTAAACGCGTTTTGTTTTTTTTTAAGGCTCCAAAACGGTTGAACTAATCGGCTTGAAATTTTCACAGTTTTAATATTTTAAATTTTTTAAGCCACTCTGAAGAGTAAATTTATTCAAAAAAATTACTTCTTTTTTGGTTGACTAGTCTTTGAATCATTACCTGTAATCATTTATAGTAATACAATTATATTTTTTTCTAATATTGGATTTTTAATTATTAAATAAAATGCCTCCAAAAAAAAAAAAAAATCACAAAAAACCGGTTTTTTCATTATCAGAATTCCAAGTGTATAAAAATAATCCTCTTAACATAACTATTTTTTGGTGTGTACTTATTGTGAACTAACTGATCTACACAACAGAACAAAATAAACGGCTGTGTAGTTCAATCAAGTGGAAAACCATATAACAGTTAACGAACTGTTCATTGTTTTTTTCTGCTATGCCTATTATGTGATGGTATGGCAATTTCACACTAAGCTCTGTCTATCACTCACTCCCCGATTTTCACTGGAAAAACTTATTATAAACGTACACATAAAATTACTGTTTCATTGGTATTTCTACTAATTTGTTTATCACACCAAAATACGAAAAGTTTTTCGTGGTTAAACAGCAAACACAAAAACGAAACTAAAAACAAAAGCAAACACACGCTAAAACTCAATGCGTTCTTTTGGCTCATTTGCTGGCAAATTTGGGCGCCAACCCTGAAATGCTCACTTCACTGCTAAAACTAACTGAAACTACATTGTTTTTGGTGAATAAGTTGTATTTGCATATATATATTGTATATACATATATACTCGCTGCCTGCTGGTAAGTATATAGCCCGGATCGCTGTAAAATTGATTGAAATAGCTTTCTTACGATGAAAGTTTTGTGACATTAATGTTTGATATTGAAATGATGCACCACCCCCACCACAACAACAACCACAGCAACAATACGATTAATGAACACACTTTGTTATTTAGTATACAGCTCTCGCTGGTTGACGCATTGTGCTCTCTTTTTGCCCATAAAACCCTTGAATTTATTTGCTCACGCACACGCTAACACACTAATGAGTAGGACTTTGCTACCTTTGGTGGTTTTAAATGTTGTTGGTTTCAATGTAATAGTCGTTTTCAACACTTTACTATGTTATGAAAATACTGACTTTGCGGTTTTGGCATTGAGAAGTGTCTAGACTTGGCGGTAATTAAAATTTCTTTGTCACTTTCACATTTAAGTACAGTTTGGCAACATAAATTAATTGATTTTAGGCGATTATTGGTAAATCAACCAATTACTGCAAATTGACAACAACAATACAACATAAGTTCCCGGGATTTTTATCCAATATTTTATAATTTAGATAACACTTACGTTTTTAATAGAAATCTTAAAGATGTTGGTAGTTTTATATTCTTCTATTCATTACCTGTAATTAGAAAGAGTCATATATATATTATAAGCGAAACTGTAATCTTGAACACAAATAGAAAGGTATGTTTATATTCTGAAAGTTTGAGTACAGTATGAGAAATAAAATAATTTTTCGAAATAAACATTTCTTTTCCTTTTTTCGATTTCAAAGTGATGAATACGCTCGCTATATCATATATCATATATCGATCATTTATAAGCCTATATAGATTATTATATTTCTTTGAAGTATGAAAGAAACAACTCCTAAAGTTTCGATAAAGAAAACCCGAATAGATGGGCATTGCTTAGGATTATTGCTCTTGACTGATTATAGATCTAGTCAGTTAACCAGGATGACTAAAAGCATGAGATTTGAAGTTTCTTACTTTAGCCTCCTAAAACTTAAAGTAATCAAAAAATCGATTCGATTCGATTTTCGAGCGGATATACCTTCATTCAAACTACTTCCACAATTCAGATCCGAATAAATTTTTAAAGCCACAGGGTTGCCCATCCGACACAGATCGGTTAAAACTCTTAAGGCTAGAGAAATACGAACTTTGCAAAAGGCAAGCAATTACTAGACGTCTTTCATGCCGGGGCTGAAGGAGCCTGTGAACACGCTAACTAGTAGTAAACGAAGAGAACACAGCGTAACTCAAGTTCCATTCACAGTCTGCTAATATGGAGACGAGAGTGCATTTTCCTTCAAATTCATCAACTTTATAATATAATTGCACTATGAACAAGGATACCCTAAAAGTCGTATTACAATGAAGTAATTTAATGTTCTTAATAACGAGGTTAATCATTAGCTCTCTGAAGGTGGTTGCACATGCGGTAACCTGCAGCTTAAGTTATTGGAGAGTTTGGTAAATTTCGCACAATCTTTATTTTAGCTTTAACACATTTTAAAAATATTGCTCCTTTTTACTATGAAGATATGGTAGTCTATCAAAATTGATAGAATTGTATCAATCTCTACATGCATACGAGTACATACTTGTACATATGAAAGCTAAAAAAAAATTCTCAATCATGATGATGTTTATCTACAGCAAGAAAAAAACTTAACTTCAGTTGCAACGAAGCTATAATACCCTTCACAAATACAAAGGCCCCTTACAAGAACTTGATTCCGAACGTTCAACTTGTATGGCAGCTATATGATATAGTGATCTGATCTGAAAAATTTCTTCGGATAATACATTGTTGCCTTTAACTTGTGACGATACCTCGTCAAATAAAAAAGTTTTTCATGCAAGCACTTTACACTGATCGTTCAGTTAATATGGCCGCTATATGCTATAGTCATCCGATCCAAATAATTTCTTCGAAGATTACATTGTTGCCTTAGAAAATAACGAATGCCAAATTTCATGAAGATACCTCGTCAAATGAAAGAGTTTTCCATACAAGCACTTGATTTCGATCATTCAGTTTGTATGGCAACTATATGCTATAGTGGTCCGAACAACAAATGAGCAGTTTCTTAGTGAAAAAAGGACAGGTGCAAGACTTCAGATCGATAGCTTAAAAACTGATGGACTAGTTTGTATATATGCAGACGGACATGGCTAAATCAACTCAGCTCATCGAGCTAATCATTTATGTTTTTAATTTATAGGATCTCCGACGTTTCCTCTGGCTGTTACAAACTTCGTGGCAAACTTAATATACCCTGTTTAGGGTATAATAAAGACAGAGCTTACAACAATTTCCGTCGCAAAAAGTAAAGGAAATAAAAACACACAACAAAACGTCAGATAATAAAAAGTTATTAAAGATAAAAAAGAAAGCCAAATAAGTGAGCGAATCTATATCTAGACACTAAAGTATTTCAGTTTCTGAATTGTATGTAGGTATACGATATAAAGTAAAGCTAATGGAAGTATATGTATACCAAGATAACGTATTATACATATTATACAACTAAATACACATATGTATGCCTGTAACTATATATATAAAACCAGCATATACATATATAAAGTGTGTGAAAATAAACGCGACGACAAGATAATTTATGTGATTTTTATGACAACATTAAATGATAGCAGATTTTATTACCAGCCCGCATACACAACTACAACACAAAACCAAGAAAGCAGGCGTTAGGAAGTGAGGACGAAAAAAAGTAATATAGAGGTAATAAATTGATGATAGTGAGCTTTAAGAAATTGCCCGTCAAAGAAACAAGTACTTATGTGAAGCTGCTGGCTTTAAAGGTAAGTAGTGGTGTTTAAAGCTCTTGTGCCACAGCGAAATAAATATTTTGTTGAATGCCATAAAAATGGCCATAAAAACTATGACAGACTTCAATGCTGACAACCGCTTGACCGATAAGTAAGAATGTGCTTTTACATATTTATATAACTATATTTGTAAGCATCAAGTTGTGAGAGCCAAGAAAATGATTGTCATTGTAGCTACATGCACATATCCATACAGCATGAGTAATTTTGGCGAAACGACGAGCCTTATCGTAGGCATCCATTTCTAAAATATGCTTATTATTTGCAGTGTTTTATGGCTTCATATGAATTTATTGCAGCAGACAGTCTTGACAGGCTTTCTTTGAATTTATTTTTATCAATTTTTGTAATTTTGTGCAAGTAAAACTTAATGTTCTCTTTATACTGTTGTTAAAAGAATGGAACTTTAGGCGCATAATTTGGACACCATTCTGGATAGTTCTATACAGTATATATGACTCATATTTTAGAAAAGCTTCTTGGCCATTGTTACAAAGTTGTACAACAAGTTTAATAGAGCTGTATTAAGGCATTTTATAAGAAAGAGCACGTCGATATTATTGAAGTGTTGATTCATTATGCTAAAGTTAAAAAAATTATTCAACTGGAATATCTTAGTCGATACTAGTGTCCTGCGTTTTAGAGCTAGTAGATTCAAAAGTCATTTAAAATTCATTTGCATAGCTTCAAGTGCTTCTAAATGACAAAGTGATTTTTGGCTACTAAATCTCCTGAAACAATTGGCTTTGTGTCAGTAGATATGCACCAGTTCACACGCTGATTTCAGGGTTACCTTTTATCTGCCAACCACCTTTGCGCCCTGCGGTCAGTTTGACAACTTTGCCAGACCTTTTCACATGCTAAGCTATTCAGGCATTCGAAAGCTTATCTACGAGCAAGTGACAGAATTACATCTAGCTGTGTGTGTGATACTATGTGTGAAAGTCAGCTGGTCAGTGTAGAGCAGCAAGCGTGAGTGTTATGCAGTATTGTTACCTTAATACAACCTTGTACTATTAATATTTGTAGCTTTGTAGCGGATTATTCTCGCTTGACAAAAGTATTAAAAGCAGCATCCGGCTTACGCTAGTCGTTTCGCTAAGGACTGCGTCAAATAAAGACATACATATCTATATTACCTTTAGTTTTAGAGAAATATCTTAACGTAAAAATATTTGTGGGTTAGCAATAAATTTTAAAAACTTTTAAATTAAACATATAAAATGCACATATCGCCATAAGGATCACTGAACTCTAAGTTTTCAGAATTTAGTTGCTTAAAATTTATTAAATACTCTAAATGGAGTTTAAAATAAATAGAATCCGGTTGTACACAATTCATTCAATACTAGGTCGTTGCAGCGATTGTCGTAGATGAGCTGTATCGAGTTAATATTTTCCACCTTATTGTGATAAATACTTTAAGGTATGAAATATGGTAATGTTTTTATGGAATTGAAAGAATGGTTGATGGTCAAAGCATTATGAAACTTTTTGAAGGAAGTAACTCTTATTTTTTTCCACAGAATTGCCTAATATTTGCTGATGACATGCATATCACTGGAGGAGGCTGTTGGTGACGAGTTTGCGGCATATTGAATTATGAATGAGCACTTAATAAATATTGAAAAATTCGGGATTACTTGAATGACACGTTGAATATAGAATGTATACACAGATAAACTTTATATGGACAGAAGATCTTTGTAAGTAGTTTTATAAAACATATTGATTAATCATTTTCATCATAAAAAAAAAAAAATTGCATTTACAGCTTGAGGAACCTTGTATGTAATGGCGGTACAAAAAATATGCGGCGAAACGAGAAATTTTTAGTGAAAATCAGAAGTCGCCGAAAGTTTATTATTATGTTATCTGCCTCTGCATTTTGAGAAAACAAAAACTCTCTCTTGAAAAGTATATCGTATAACAGCGTTTCTATTAAGGCAAAATCCCATAGTCTTTATAGTTAAGGCTTTCATAAGACTGAAAGAAATTCCTACTGCGCTGTTTTCATGGAGACTTTTGACATATATTAGGGTGTGTCATTTTTAGACAAATGCTTTTTAAACAAAAATTTTCAAGAAGTTAACAAAGAAGCCTTTTGAAATTTGAGCTCTTAATATTAATATGTACTGTTGTGTCCTCAGCAAAAAAAAAATCAACTTCTTACCTATTAACCTTTGCGTATAACCTATCCTTATTGAAAGTTTACCTACATATATATTCGGTATTTAATAAACATTATATATATTAAATTAAATTTTCTCTCTGTTTACATGGACACTAACGTTTTTATTGCTATTTCCATGAATTGATTGATGAATTCAGATATTTTTAAATTTATTATATATCGACGTGACTTCATTGGAACTTGTCAAAAGGAGGTAACAGTGCGATGGATACCGGTTAATGTGTCCAAACGGTAAATGTGTTTCCTTTAAACAAGTGGTTTTCAAGAAAAAATAAAATGCATATAAATTAAATTTATTGTCAAGAAACGTGCTCGATTGACTGTAACATTAAGGCCGGGTTCATTTTGAATAAAAAATTAATTTAATTAACCTAATGAAATATTATACTACAAGTATAAAATATATGTTTTTCAGACAACAAACAAAATCAGTTTACCACCAACAGCTACTTTGTATACCTTAGTAAACAATAAAACAGGCAACTATACAACTCTGAGCAGAGATATCTGCTATGTGTTAAATATCGCAGCCTTTACAGCACGGCTTAGTCAAGCAATTAAATTTCCAACATGATTAGACAGGCAACAAAAACAACGGAATACTGTCGATTGAGCAAATAATACACACGCGCCCACAAGCCTGTATAGAGTGCCCGCAAAATATAAACAAACAACAAAGCCCAACAGCCGCAAGTGTCGTAATTCCAAACTTAACGCCTTCGCAGGCAGAAAGCAGTCAAGCCGTCAGGCAGTCGGGAAGTCAGTCAGCCAGTCAACCAGCAGCTAGTTTTTCACACTATAGTTTGTTGTTGTTGTTGCTGCTTTTGCGCCACCATTTAAATACTGTACATAAATATGCTTAATGTAGATGGATGTGTGCGTGTGTGTTGGTGTGCACTTTTGACGCTTGTCGGCGGCAATATGGCCGGGCATTGCGGCGCTCTAAGTGGCACTGTCACGCGTTCGCAACATAAATTAAGAAATTACTTTAGCAATCCATCACGGCAAAGCCAGCAGCAGCAACAACAACAACAACAGCGATTTGTGTGCAAGCAAATGTGTGTAGTGTTGGCCACTCACACACACACACCATCCTCCTATTTTTTGTTGTAATAAATAGTGGTTGGCGCGTGCGTTACTTGAAATGCGGCTCATGGCGGTGGGATAAGGATGATGATGTTGATGGCTTTGGCTTTGGCTAATGTTAGGTGTAGATGAAATTGCCGCCATTTGCGTTAGTGGTCGGCGTTAATCCATACTATTAGCACTTGTAAACGTGTAGGTCCACATTTATAATTGCCTTGTGTGTGAAGGTGTGTGTGTCTGTGTCTGATTATGCGGGAATTTTTTTCGCACAATATAATTGTGCGTCAAATGTTGGAGACATCTTTAATGTTTTTTAATTTGTTGGAGCTTTCACTTTCACTTTTGAGCTGTCTGCTGTAAGCTGTCACTTTAACTCAACTGCACTCGGCTGGCAGTCAGAAATTTTAATATACAATAGAATTGGTTAATTTTAGGTTTGTTGTTTATTTTAATTGGCAGACATTGCCTATTATTTCTCCTTCTTCCTCTTTTGTTTTTGAAAATATATAAAAATTATGTTTTCTAGTATTCAATCGTCGAGCTTTAATATTGTCTGACAACTAAGGAAGGCGTCGGGATTTAGCATAATCCGCAGGAGCCAAAAGTATTTCAAGTAGAAGGTTTTACTGGGTGAATATGTGAAAAGACGAAGTTAAGATATGAACCTGAACCTAACTCTTTGGTTAAGAATGTAGATCATACGAAAATTCTTTCTACAGACGCAAACAGCCTTATTAAATATATATTTAAAGTATTAGCGTGACGAGGTGTCCTTTTGTCTGTATATATGCGAACTACTACCTCAGATTATGAAATATATGGCATTTTTTACACGTTTTTTCCTCTACAATAAGCTGCTCTTTTGTCAAATTCGCCGATATCAAACTACATTAGGATATAGGTGCCATTTAAAATTAGGGAAACATGTTCATAAAATATATATTTTTTCCTTATTAAGTAACCTCAATTCGGCTTGAAGGTTTCATAATACAAAGAACGAAGGTAGAAAAAACCTTTGGTCGGTTACGTTTTCAGATGTATGGTATTTTCACATATAGTTGCCAGAAGAAATGTACCTGTCAAGGGTATTTTTATGTTTCTTTTATAGACTGCAAAAAATGTGAAGTTTAGGCCTTTCAGATTTAGCCATCACACATTGATTCTTACGACATGTATTAGACAGCGAGAAACCAAACTTTTTTAATTTCTGAAACTATATCTTGTGATTATAAAACTTGTACGATTATCAACCGACAACCGACAGCGAAATAAGCAAATTGTCGATATGCTCCGCGAAGTGAGTTTTGCAGCACAAATCAAAAACCAAAACTTTCCTGAGAGGCTGTAATATATCTTTCGCCGTCAATTCATAGCCAAAAATTTTGAGATATGTAGAATTATATTTTATATTTAATAATTTAGCAACGCAGAGAAAAAGACAAGAGTATTTATAAAATATCCAATTATAATCACTCACATCAACATATTGAAAATCATGAAATTTCTGATCATGAACTTCGTTATTTCTATAAAACTGCTGGAATACCAAACCCACGCTCAAAGAATCCCAATCCCATAACGGCGCCTCTCTACAGTAGCATTAAATATTGTTATGTTAAACATGACAATAATATCCATTTTTCACTACAAGTAAATTAGCAGTTCTTATTTTTTTTCAGAAAAGCGAACAACTCATTTATAGCGCTTGATATTGCACGTGGCATAAACCCAGAATTGAATGCTGTATATTGCGCCTCGTTCTTGCTGGTATTCCCAAGTTAACCAACACGTACACATCGATTTGCACAAGCATCATTAGCGACTTCTCTCGCAGTTGAATAACGGTTTTACAAACTCACACATACACACACACACAACAATAACGTGGCACATATACCCATGTAGGCAGGCGTTCGCACGCACAAAAACAAATCATTTGTGAATTAAAGGCGAAAGACATGTCACAGCGGATTAATTCAACGAGTCAAATGCAATGAATTTACTATGTCTGTCTGTTGTTTTGGTTTTACAGTCGATCCCTTACATGCAACTTGGTGCCGACGCCAGCGAGAATGTGGCGCGTGGATGTTAAACATGTACTTAATAAATACAAATGTGCTTGTGTTAAAGTGTGTGTGTGTGCACTTGCTACAACCAGCAATAGCTTGAAATGTGTCGTGAATGTGTATGTACGAGAATGTTTATATGTATGTGTAAATGTGCTTTTATGGTGAAAGTGTGAAGGGCTTTTATGGCCATTTGCTTTTTGATTCGTGTTCACCCTGCAATTATTTGACATTTTAATTGCCTACTTTTGCTGTGGCGTTGACAGTTATGATTGATTTATGTAGACAATAAACATTGCGGTATTTGGTGAGAGAAATGTGGGCAGAAAGGGTGAAGTGGAAAGTGGGCCAGAATGTAGCTGTGTTCAGAAATCCTGTTGATTGCCTATAAAATGAACAATCTATTGTTAACTGCAAAAGTTTTTAGAAAAGTTTTTTATTTGAAAATAAGAAAAGTTTAACGTTATCTTCGGTTCCACATAAGCTGTAATACCCTTTACAGATAGAAAAGTTTTTATACCAGAACTAATTTTGATCGTTCAGTCTGTACGGCAGCTATATGCTATAGTGGTCCGATATCGGCGATACCCACAAATGTGTAGCTTCTTGGAGAGAAAAGGACGTAAAAGCCCTCCCAAAATGGATGCCGATTTCGACAATACATACTATCCAAACCAGTAAAATATAAGATCAACTTATTGTTTGTTGTGATGCTGTAACAAATTTGGTTATTGGTTTTAAACATGATTTAGAATATTATTAATAAGTATAAAATATTTCCGTGGTATGCCAAAAGTCTGATAGTCAAAACTCTTGTCAAAACGTTTCCTGAAACTATATATATTTTATTAGAGATCTGCTGTAACCACCACCAAACATATTACCAAAAGAACTCAGTAATAATTGATTTAAAACACAACATATGATTAAATTAAGGTGGAGTAACCTTGATATATTGTGATTTAGCTTCCTTTTTTGGAGATTGAGTAATATGGAAATGTTTTGAATAAAAAAAATATAGATTTTTTTTTAAGATTTCGTATACTCAATTTTTGAAAAATTATTTTAAAAACGATCCATCTTATTCCAGAAAAAAATATGTACTTTATCTATGCTAAAAACATTATCGATTGAAAGTTAACGGTGCGTTGATATCTGCCTGAATTTTGTAATCTCTTACGCAACAACATCCACTTAACTTAATTTTGCAAAACAGAAGTACACGAACTTGTTTTTTCTATCCGCACCTTATGTTTTGTAATGTTCAAGTTCCAGCATCTCCTTTACTGGACTATTCCAAAAAAATTAAAAACCGGAATATGGAATTCAATACTCGTCTTTAAGGCTGAAGAGGTAGTAGTTAACTTAAGAGAGGAAAAATGTCTCCGCTATAATTCGAAAACTTCAGTTATTTAACACAAAATAAATAAGCTCTTGTTAAGAAAACGTACTATTGAAAACAACAAACTCTGATATCGGCTTAAAGCTAGCAATATTTAATAACTATAGTAAAATCATTATGCAAAATATGACTCATCGCCTTTTTGATAGAAGTTCTAGTGGGGTTCAAATACGTATGTGACGATTAGAAAGGTTGCACTTGCTTCCGAAATTAAAAGCAGTACTTTTATTAGAAAGTTACAAACACTTGTGGATGTCGAATGAACATATGTTTGATACCGATTTCTCGAAAATTTGAAGTTGATACCGAAAATAGTTTCAGAGATATGGGCGTATTTGTTAGTAAGAAGCGGCTCACAAAACATTAAACGCGATTTTTTCGAAACGCTATTTCCATACTCGGTGAGCAAATTTCTACGAAACCACTCGATAATTTCACACGATTCTTCCAAAAAAATATATATGTTAGGAATTATTCCAAGACATACGATTTTCGATAACAATTTTGATTTTTTAAACCACTCTGAAGTGTAAGTTTTTTCACAAAAAACGAGTTATTTTGAAAGTCGCCATTTTGTGAAAAATCAAAATTTGGCTTGTACCTCGATCATTACTTATACATCTATAGTAATAATAATGTTTTTTGTTTTAAAATTATTTAAAAATTTGCCATAATTTTAATAGGAAAAATCTATCTCACCGCCAGACACCTTTTTCGCAGGTACTAATGGAAATTGGATTGGTAAATTTTTCAAAATTAAGCAGCAATTATTAAAGTACTTTAATTCTGTAAATGAACATTATTTCTATTTATTTACTAAAAAAATGCCACTTCAAAAAAAGTTCACGAAAAAATGCGTTTTTCTGACCTGCATGTCGATATAACACTAATTTTTTTTACATTTTTTCTCTATACATTACAAATAAACTTCTGTTTGCTCCGATTTGTGTTCTAAACACAGTATTTAGCAAGAGTAAATAAATCCATTTTACTTTGTTTGCGTGCCACAACTAGCTTGCGTGTTGCAACACTCTCAACAAATTGCTAAACATGCCCGGATATACCTGTAATTGAGAGTCTTCTCCACTGTAATTGAGTACTTTTCAGCAAGCAGTCGGCTACCGACAAGAAACACCATGTTAAAGTAATGTGCCGTTATTTGAGAGAAATATTCATTTATTCATTAACCAATTCTTGCTATTGTGGACGTTGTTTATTTGACACAATTATCAATGGTTTCACATTTCTACGAATTGTTTTTGAGCGCAAATGGCTAAAAGCGAATTTGTGGCAAAAAAGTAATGTAGGGGTTAAGTGGGGATTTATTTAAGCGTTGAGGTTTTGCGAAAATACTTTGTATTGTGTTGCGGTATAACGGTTTTTACGATATAAAATAATCTAAATTTTTCAGCATTTATTGAATATTTCTTGTTTATTAAAGAAATTAACATTAAAATTAAATTTAATTTTTTTCCTTTTGTTTAAATTCGTATAGCGTTCATATTTTTACTAACTATATATTTACATAAAACTATTCGCTGCTGTTTTTTCTGCTCTTTAAATGGAATCTGATGTCATAATTTTATATTTGCGGAAAAAATAAGTGCGCTATTCGCTAACGCATTATTTGACATTTCCGTCATTCTGCTGAGCAGTATTTTTATTTATCTTCCGTTACTTGTAAGCGAAGCTGATTTCCATTGAAAATAAATTGAAAAATAATATCACAACTTTTTATTTGTTTTGTGTAATGTTCACTGTTGATGGCAGAAACTATGAAAAACAATTTGAAATCGCATGCGAGAAAAACTAAAAGGATATGAGTGCGTAGAGAAAGCGTAAAAACTGTGTATTAAAAAGTAGAAAAACTGGGATTTGTTAGGAGGTAAAAACAAGATTGTAATCTGCATTTTTTGTTGATTTTGAGGAGTTTCTCAATTTTTGTGGCATATTCTGAAATTATCACATAATAGATTTTTAGCCAAAATTCACTCGAATTCACATTGTGCAGAAGAAAATCGCGATGTTACGATACAATAGACACTATTTAGATAGAAATGTGAAAAAGTTTCGCTACCAGTTCTAGCGATTTTTTCATTTGCTGTAACTATTTAGCAGCAACTCAAGGAGATATTACGGCTATTTGAGTTGATAGATATATTTTTGTGAACAGCATACACTTCAATAGTCTACAAAAACTAACCTACTCATAATTTCAATCGATCTATGGTAAGTTTTTTTCTTTCAATTTCAAAGATAATTATCTAGGAGATCAGAGTATTTCTTAGTGCTTTTATGATCACTATGCTATTTTCTAACTCACTACCTATTTCATTTCGCTTGTTACATAAGATCCACATATTTAGACCTTCAAAATATTGCTCGATTCATTATCATAAATTACTACACAATGCAAATACTTACAGTTATCTGTAACAATAGTACTTTAAAGGGTGAGCAGGTAGAAATATCTATATATATTATACCTGCAAATCACCTAACGACCTCGAGTGGTTAAATTGAAGGTGCGCGCTACCTGTCTTCGTCATGCCTACTTCACGCCTCTATGCAGTAATTACTTCAGTTTGATTTAATTTTAGGTATAAAAAGGTGCGTGCTTTGAAACTTTCAGCATTCACATTCAGTAAACAGTTCACTTTACATCTCTCATCTCAAAGTTAGGAAAGTTTCGCAATCCTACATTTTGCGCAAAGTTTAGAATATTTCGCATTTTTATTAAAAAAAAAATTAGTATAATCCTCTTGAACATGGGTATTTTGTTATCAAAGAAAGTAAGCTGCAATCTGGAAGCTTCGCCGCCAGTCTTTGGACGATACACCATCATAGACGATGAGTTCACCATACGGCCCTCAAATTTTACTAGCCAATACAAGCGCATGTCTGCTTCGCCAGCTGGAAGCCTTGACAGCAGACACAGTTCCGGTCGTGTTGCCAAATCACCTTTAAGAAAGCGTCTAAAGTTTGATCATATTTCAATGGAGGCTTTCGAAAGGCCTAAGATGTTTATACCAAATAGACCAAGTCTAAAGCGGCCACCGATTGCAAAAACAAATAATACGAAAGACACTATCATGAACCTGGATAACGAAAAGAGCGATAAAGAAGTCCTAACAATATTGACGCCGAAAACATATCGACGATTAACACTGCGTACGTGTATACGTCGACGCCCATCATACAGGAAAGCCCTAAAAACACCGACCAAACTGCCACAAGCACCGGAGTCATATGTCATCCCTGAAGAGCCTTTGGAAAGCAAACACGAGAGTGAGATCGGCAATGCTATTTTAAGACAAACTGATATATGTGAAATGGACACTATTATTGAGCCTCTACCCGAATATGAATATGCTGAGTGGGAAACGGATGACATGTTGGAAAAATGTACACCAGAAGAAAGGTTGGAACAAAAGATTAGATTTGAAAATCTTATAACGGAGCATCAACAGCTAATTCAGGAAAATAAGCCGATAAAAATTAACAGTTCAACAGAGAATGAACTAGATTTGGCCACTTTCAAGAGGAAATCGTCAATGAAAATATGTCACCGTTATTCTCAACGACATGCGCCATATGAAACGATTAAACCGAAATCCACAGAAGAATTAAATAGAATGAAACCAAGTCTTCTTAAAGTGGCAATGTTGACGGAGCATAACTTTAAAATTCCGAAAGAACATCACTTACGCGAAATGCCAGAAGAAAGTCCGTTAATTATGGGGAAACTATTGAGAGAGCTGAAGCAACGCCTCGCTGAAATTGATGAGAGGAAAAGAAGAAATTCTTTACCAATCCTGTTAAGAGATGGAACAGAACAAGATAAACCTGACAATTTAAAGATACGCTCAATATCTGAAATATCTTCACAGCAAGCTCAACTTTTTGGAAAGCTCATGATAGAACTCAAACAACATTTGGCAAAAAGGAATGCATGGAACGGACTTCAAACAAAATCAGATTTACAACAATACCCAGCTGATAATTTCAAGAGTTTTGAAACCACACGTATGAAGAGAGGGATTGAGCTAGTGTTATAAGCGTTAATTTGAACTTGAAGTTGAGTTTTGAAATATTTAGTTGTAGAAACAAAATGAAATTTTTAAAATGTATATAATAATTTTTCAGAAGATATATATACATATACATAATATATTGGTCCGAAAATTTAAACATTGCCTAATTTAACACCCAAACCGCAGGTAGACTTAAAAAGCGGTCATCCGAAACAGGTACCTGCCGGCATTAATAACTCTATACAAATGAGAGAATGAAGTTTTCAACATTTAGAATTTTCGCTCTTTTCGATATAGTGTTCTCTCTACTTTTCTCTCACTGGAGGGCTTCTTTTGCAATTCTGTTCGGATACATTTTTAGGTTTTGGTTAGAGGATGAAATGTTTCCAAATTTTTATTTCTTTTATTCTTATATTAATACTGTCACGTGTGGAATAACAACAAAAATATAAATATATTTATGGAAAGTTTTGGCTTTCTCTGAACAGTTGATGATTTTTGGAAGATTTTTTTTAAATTTATAAATGTACTGAGAAAGACGGTTACTATGAAAAAGAACTCGTTTAATGACTTTTCAGTTTTTTGTCATCGGTATTTGTTCGTATAAACCATCGGGTAATTAACGTGCTTCAAGTTTCAGCAGCAAAAATATATTGAGTCTGCTTTAGATTTCATTCATCGTAAATATATTGGTGATGTTTTGAAAATTTTATAAAGGGTTTAGATAACAAAGGGGTTGTTGTTCTGAGGGCAGTTGCATTTGATTCAGCGTGGAGTTTAACGAACTTTTGATAAATGTTACTCCGTCCAGTTCAGATGTCGGATAACACTTTCTAATGTTAATTATCAATATCAATATACCAAATTGATTTATCCAACTCATTTTCTATGCATATATGATTTTTTTCGATTCAGAATTTTATTTGAAATATTCCAAAACAAAAAAGTTGTGAAAATTCTCGAGTATATTATTATTAGAAATATGTAATATCGAATAGGTAACTAATAGTGAAGTCTCTCATCTGCGGTTACACAAAAGTTCGTAGAAATATAGAAAAATTATATTCAATGGGAAATTGCAATCAGATACAATTATCTGGAAACACTCACATCTAAAGGAGTGTGGAGCATGAGAGCTTCGACGAAAACCAAAGTTAACAACAAAAATGAAATTACTGATACACCACATTCCAGGAGCAATCAGCAAATTGCAGTATTCTACGCACAGTTACTGGTCAAAGGAAATGGGTGAATTCATATAAATATTGCAATACATGTGTAAACACAAACAAAATATGTATATACCAAACACACGTGCCTTTAATATATCGCAAATGCATTTATAAAAAATAAATTGGATTTACATGTATTTGCCACTTTTCTATTTAATTTCCAGTTTATTCGCAGTTTCGCCATTTTTCACTGCGCATTTTTAACGGGAAATGTCACAACAGCAACAACAACAATAACAAATGATTGCATAATTCCTACTCATGTGTCCACGCATTCACATATGCGATGGCTCTTTCGCCACATAGCCTACACCCCTCCCCTCTCCTACGCAGCAAAAAACTGCTTTGAAATTTTATTAGCATGAAAAATTGATTTTCAACAAAACTCAACAGGCCGTGACACGAACGAAATAACATGCCACAGGAGTCAGTGAAATTGAAACTGCAACTATCAATACGGCCACATGGTTGCATTTCATTCACGTGTGTATATGTATGTGTGGGTATGTGTGCTGCAGCTGCACATTGTTGCTGGCCGATTTTTATTTCCGTTGTCGCTGCTTGTTTGCCGGAAATTTGAAATTTGCTCACAGCTTTCAATTCAATTGCTGTATTCAATTTTTAACTAACACAAATCTATCGAGAATAGCAGCGTGTAGAAGTTGACAAGCTGATTGTTACTTAGTTAACATGCACATTTTTACATTATTTATGAGCGCAGTTTTGTGAATTAAAATTTCATTGACTGCTATCAGCGAAATGTAAAAAATATCGCTTACTTTTGTAATTTTGTTGCAAACAAAGTTCGTTAAAAATTTATGGTGCCAAATTTAGCAGGAAGTAGAGAGCGTTAAAAAGTAATATTTCGGGGAAAATTTTTTTTAAGTTATTAAAGGAAATTATTAATAGTTTTTAAGGGTTTAACTAACAATTATTATTTCCGGGTGTAATACTTCACATACTAAGTTACACTTTGTTATTATTATAAGCGTAGTTTTAATACTATATTCTAAGGGTGCTGTGAATAAAAGCACCATCAAACCATGGAGCGAATTTCATTGTATCGCAGCAAATATATGTAAACATAATGCCGATAAAGCTAATTCGTTAAACCTATTTTCCACCAGAGGCAAGCATAATTATATACTGTGACAACACAATTATTTTGGGTGGCTAGGAACCAACACCTGTAAATTTAGTACCAGCGCCCACTAGTAATTGAGACAGACTTTCTCTTCAAAGAAACTTTAGGGGCATATTTCGACAGATATTAAAGAATATCTCTTTTTCTCTCTCAAAAAACTTTTTTCAAAGTCCAAATTATTTTTTAAGCGAAGAATTTTAAAAGAGTTCTTCTCGAAATTTTAGCTTGAGTATTCTTCGAATATCTCTCTATCTGAAAAATCCTTGTTTTCATATACGTTTTTAAATAAACAACTTTTCCATACAAGGAAAATAGTATAAAAAGCTTTTTATTTTGTTATACCCCGAAGAGCTGTATTAAGTTTGCCACGAAGCATTAAGTGTATTAAGTTTTAGCACACAGAAGGAAACTTCGGAGATCCTATGAAATATATATACAAATGATCAGCATGATGAGCTGAGTCGATTTAGCAATGTCCGTCTGTCTGTCTGCTTGTACATATACAATCTAGTCTTTCAATTTCTAATATCTCGATCTGAGATAAAGTATCTGATCTTTTTTCACCAAGGAACTGGTAATATGTCGGAATGCATACCACTAAAGCTACAAACTGAACAATTGGAATCAAGTGCTTGCATGGAAAACTTTTTCATTTGACGACGTATCTTCACGAAATTCGGAAAGGATCATTATTTAAAACAATAATGGAATCTCCGAGGAAATTTTTCAGATCGAATCTCTACCTGTTGTATTTGCGAAGGGTATTATTGGGGAAGATCGACCCGATTTGTATGGGAGATATATCTTATAGTGATCCGATATTGACGGTTCTGAGAAATAAACAGCTCTTTGAAGAGAAAAATACGTTTGCAAAATTCCAGATCGATATCTCAAAAGCTGAAGTACTAGTTCGCATATAAATCGCTTGACAGACTGACGAATAGACGGACATTTTTAAATCGACTGAGTCTCCGTCGTTTACGGTCGGACATTACAAACTTCGTGGTAACTTTAATATACCCTGTTCAGGGTAAACTTTGCTGCTAATGACTCTGATCATGTGTGAAGATTAGTAAAATATCTATTCTACTAAGTTTCATCTAGCTTGAAAGAAAAATGCTGCAAACTTTGCTATCAGACTCTGTTAAACCCGACACTTTGAGGGTCTCACAGAGAGACATTCCGAATTTATATCTCACTTCGACTGCATCCCTGATAACTTGGAGCACTGCGTCGCGTGTAGGGGGAGTCTTATGCCGGGAGCTCTTAATCGACTCCTATTTCTGTCTGCCAGACTACCGTAATGTCTTTGAAGTAGTACTGACAGCGCTAAAGGTAGGAATAGTTGTGCTGCGCTTATGTACAGCGTCTTTCAGTAAGTTGTGCATCCATCCCGTAGGCAGAGCCGCAATACAGATTTTGACCTTCCATATTGAACTCATCTGGATGCTTGTGCACAACAAAATCGTCCGAAACTCTAAAGCCGATGAGCTGGCTGACTGGAGTCCTAACTGGACACTGCCCTATTGGCACTCATGCGATGAGGCTAAAGATTGTGGAGGACGCAACTTATGAGAGATGCAAGGGAAAGACGAGGTGAAAATTTCTAGACACTCTCTTCTCCACCGTGTAGTTTTCGCCGGACTAAGGTTGAAGTATCTCGGTTGTGATACTTTCTACGAACCCGTTGTATTGGCTAGAATTGATATTAGCTGCCTTAATAAATTTGTGGCAGTGTCTAGCCGCTTTGTCCATATGCAACGGTCTTTTTGATTCCTACCTAATTTTCTAATGCACAACGTGACCATTGCAGAAGTAAATTAAAATTGGGTTTTAAAATTAATAAGGAACCGGAAGGAATTAATAAGGAAGCAAGACCAAGAAATCAGTAGAGCATATAAAGTTAAAAATGAAGAAGTGCCAAACAACGTGCCGGCATTAGCCAATATTTTATTTAACTGAAAATCTTCTATTTCGAAGCCATTAAGAGCTTACTTCGGTCAAAGCCGCGTGAACTCGGTAGTAGTTTCTTTCTCTTTTTGATATATTTAAGAGCACACGACATGTAGGAAAAACCACTCGATCATCTAGCAATATTTGCGAAAGTAAAATTACCAAGTTATTGTCACATATTTCATTATCGATAAATTTCTAAGATGAATTAACTGACGCAACAACATTTTTGCAGCCAAAGCTCAGCCAAGTGTCCGCCAAAGAAGAGGATTGCGGTTCGCCAGCACGTAATAATTGCTCAAATGATTTGTTGCAAAATCATTATGATATAATACACATGCATTAACTGAAATAAGTACGAAGTCTCGGAACGACTGCAGAATAAATTACAAAACTTGGATGCGCCGCAGCATATCAACGCGCCATAAATGAATAACGCTTTTGTGAGGCGATTTATTTTTCCAGGGTCTTGATTTTGGCATAGAAACCTCAACACCTACCAAACAACAAAAACCAATAGCAATTTGTGGCGAATTTTATTTGCATGGTTTTTCCAACTACGTATGTATTTGTAAGTCAATGTGTGTGTGATTATTGTAGGGTTTTGCTTTGCAACTTTTTTGTGCGCCATTTTATGTGGTATGTGGCTAATATTTGCTGATCACATGTGTAAGTGTGTACGTGTATGCACGCCAATAAAATACAATTGTTGCATGTTATTATTGTTTTTGTAATATTAATAGCTATATTGCTAAATATTATGGGTTGCAGTTAGCATGAATTACATATACTGGTTGTTTTATGCTGTTGTTGCTGTAGATTGTTTTTATTGTGTTATGTTGATTTTGCTGTTATTTTCGTTTTTTGTTATGTTTTTATTGGTTTGGTTATAGAGCCAATAGAGTAGAACGTGACTGCAATAATAAAATCGAATGTTGCGCATACGCCAGGGAGGACCCAAAGGGAGTTGCAAGCTTATATAGAATTGCGCACACAATTTGTGTGATGTTTGTGCGCTTGTGTATGTGTGTGGAAAATTCAAGAGTGTGCGCTAAGTACTAGTTGCAAATGTGCATATATATACATATACGTATGTGGTTGTTGATATAAATGTCAAGTATATCTACATATTTATATTTATATTCAAATACTTTGTTGGCAAAATGTGTGGTTTTATATATTCTTTTTTGTTTAATATGTTGCAGTTATTGGTATTTTAACTGGCAAATCTAACAACCCTTTTGGGGTTTTCACACACAAGCTTGTGCATGTTCAACCTTATATAAAATTGTGCATTTGTATGTGTGACAGGCAATTTTGCTCAATTTACAGATTATCCTCATTTACAATAAAATCAAAATAAATCATGCTTATGCGGCAAAAGGCCTATTTTTTATTTATTTATGCTTTCATTAGAATTTTATTCTATTTGCAAGCCAAAATGCGTAGACACACAAACACTTACACAGCTTTTGCTAGCATGAAATATTAGCTTGGCAAAAATATTGCCACAGAAATAAACTTTCACCAGCACAATTGCAAACGGTTTTTGCCAAAATCATATTCATTGCCTCTTCCACACACGCACACATACCAAAACATTTATGCCTACATACAAACATACAACTGCATTGCGCCACACATTTCGATTGTGTATGTTGCAATTGAAGCCATTAAAAATATGTATTAGGCTGAGCCAAAAAAAAACTGAATATACCTTGTGAGATAAAAAAATTTTGCATACAAGGAACTGACTTAGAACGGTCAGTTTGTATGGCAGCTATATGCTATAGTTGTCCGATGTCAGTCGTTCCAATAAATGAGCAGCTTCTTAGTAAGAAGAGAACTTGTGCAAAATTCCAGTTTGATCTTTAAAACACTGGGGGACTAGTTTGCATATCTACAGACGGTGTTTTAAACATCGTAGCAAACTTAATATACCCAGCTAAGGGTATAATTACATCGCGGATAATGTAGAGCTTAAATTAGCCTAAAAACTATTCGAGTGAAATTTTTTTAATAAAAATAAATTATATGGTT